TATTCACAACTAGCTTCTTTGTATTACTCATCTAGGTGATTCTTTTTTTTTTTTCTTTTTCAACTATCATTAAGAAGTTAATAATTTAATTCGTTAATTTTGTCTTCATTTTCGTTTCTTTCCTTTTTTTTTTTTGTTTTTCACCCTTATCTTTTTCTTGGGGAAAAGAACAGAAAATTTTGATGATGAAACAACAAGATAGTGAATTAATTAAATTTAGGTTGTTTTGAATATGCGATCAAATACGAATGAAAAAATCCTGGATCGATGTCCAACATTTATTACCAAGGATAAGGTTGGTATGTTCAGGATGAAAATGGCACCCAAACGATCAATTCAAATTAAGGGTCATCAGTTTATATTAACTCCTGTCAATTTAACCGTTTACTGCTATCAGTGCCGCGATGCTATATGGGGAGTTAATGCTCAAGCATATTTTTGCCAGCGTAATCATTTCATTAAATATTGATAAATTAAAAAATCAAAATTATTTAAATCCAAATTAATTTGATATATGTTTAAGCTATAGTTATGATATGATTTTAGTAAAATTTTTTACATTTTTTTTTCTCTTCCAAATCATTTTTAACATGTATTTATTTATATCATAATAATATATTATATGTAAAATTTGATAATAACTATTTCAGATTGTGATGTTGTTGTGCATAAGCAATGCACAGCTTCCTTACCTGATCATTGTTATCCAGCAATCCAAAAAAAATCAATGCACACAAAACAAAGCGTACATCTTCAAGTGGTAAATGTGAGAGTGAATCTTTTGAGGGTAGTAGCTCTTTAGCAGGTCATACACATTCAACATCGATTATTGCTGATAAGGTTTGATATTACGAACGTTTAAACAAATTTAATGCTATTATCTCTTGATTGTTAAAATTTTTATCTTTCTATTCTCAATTTTTGCTTCATTTAGTAATAGTTTTCAGGAGTTATATAGAGTGGATAATGTTAAATCTGCTTCCTCGGATTCTGGAATTGGAACGGATATGGAAAAACCAGTATCTCGATCACAGAGCATGCGTTCTCGGGTTAGTTAATATTTTAGGTTAAACTGAAATAAATTTTTAANAATT